CCTCAGGGTTTCACCACATAATTTATATGTTATGATCTAGACTATTGTCCCTGCCTTCATATCCTTCCAGCCTAACACACACAATACTCCTATCACAAGTTCTACAGAGTGTCGTGGGCAATGGAGAAGCTCTGGAGTCCAACTGCCTGGGTTTAAACCCTGGCTTTATTACCAATTGGCTGTGTGACCTTGAGAAAGTTCCTTAACTTCTCTATGCTATGTTCCCATCCAAAATGTGGGGTTAACCATAGTATCAGTGTCAGAGGTACTATTATTGTTATAAAGGTTATGGTAAGGATTACAATGAGTTTCATACATGCAAAGAATTTCACATGATGGTTGGCAAAATGTAAGCGCTTAATAAATGTTAGTATTGCTTTATTACTTAATATCACAGTAATAAACTCCTTTTTATGCATAAATCAGTCACTGTCTGTTGTTTACAACTAAGAATGCTGCCAGATACAATTAGTCACCAATCCAGAGTTTATACCATATCTTGCTAAACAGGAGTTATAAGGTACAGCTACTTACTAAGTTTCAAATGAGCCACTAGGTTGCTAAAGGCTCTATAGACAGGGAGGATTCACTTTGTCCAGGTCCTCCACGGCCATTGTTGGGGTCTGCTCTACCTTAACAGCTGACCTGCTGTTGCTGCAGGTGTAAGGAGCATGGGGAATGTTTTGATACTCTAGCACCACTCTGGAGCCACAGAAGACCAGAGAGGCTATCTTGAGGCATTTTGCCTAAATGTGTCATGCCAACATTTCTACATTTCTATGCTGCATCATGTTGTCTTGTACAATGGGGGAATTCTATGACCTGACGTGCTTTCCTGGGTCTTCCCCGTGGAAGTAAGCGAAGGTTCCTCCACCCTCAGATCCCCAAACATATCTGGAGGTTCTCTTATCTCTACATGACTCTTGTCCCAATACGTGCACATATGTGTTACCACAGATCCTCCAAGGAACAGATAGCAAGACAAGATTAAATGTATAGGAAATTTATCAGGGGAATCCTCAGTGAAGGAAAATGGGGAGGAAGTCAGGAAAGGCTGGAAGAGGTGTCAGCCCATGATATATGTCTGACCTGGAGTGAAGGAGAAAGGCAAGGAAGGATGGAAAGTTGGGAGGAAAGCTGGGCAAGGACTTCTCAGGCCACAGTCACCCTCCCAGGAGTCCCCTGTCTCCCAGGAAAGGGCCTGCCATAGTATCCCCAGCTTACTCAGTAATCAGCTGGGAGTAGCTATGAGAAGCACAGGCTCCGTGGACCCACAGAAAATGGATTTCAGAGGAAGAAAGGACTTTTCAATATATTATACTGGTACAATTCACTAGACACAATGAGAAAAAAAGCTAGTTCCCTTATTAATGTCATTTAAAAAAATCTAAATGGATTAAATAGATCATGCAAAAAAGTTATAACAGAATGTAAAGAAAATATGGAAGAATTAAAAGACAGAAATATATGGAAAAAGAAAGTCTGAATTCTAGAAGAAAGAAGACATAGCTATGAGAGTCGAAAGTGATTCTCTCTGGGATAGAAGCAAGAGGAGTGGGAAGGAATGGAACCGATATCTGTAATATTTTGACTTTTTAAATATTAAATACAAATAAAGTTAAGGAAAGAGAGTAAGAGAACATTACATACTATATTTTTGACAAATTTGAAAGTTAGGAAAAAATAGATAACTTGTATGCTAAATCATTAAATAAACTAAATCGGAAGTTAAAAAGTGGGCTTCCCTGGTGGCGCAGTGGTTGAGAGTCCGCCTGCCGATGCAGGGGACACGGGTTCGTGCCCCGGTTCGGGAAGATCCCACATGCCGCGGAGTGGCTGGGTCCGTGAGCCATGGCCGCGTGGCCTGCGCATCCGGAGCCTGTGCTCCACGGCCGGAGGGGCCGCACCGCTGAGAGGCCCGCGTACCGCAAAAAAAAAAAAAAAAAGAAGAAGTTAAAAAGTTTAGAAGAAAAACAACAGCAAAAAAAAAAAAGGAAACAATCTGTCAAATTTCAAAGAACAGATCATTCTAATATTATGCAAATTATCAGAGAAAAGAAGAAAGTGGAAACATTGCCCAAATCATTTGATGAGGTTAGAATAGTCTTAACCACCACCAGACAAGAACAGATCAAGAAAGAAAAATTAAATGTTGAGAATTCCCTGACTGTCCAGTGGTTAGGGCTCCACACTTCCACTACAGGGGTTGCGGGTTCAATCCCTGGTCAGGGAACTAAGATCCTGCATGCCACACGCCATGGCCAAAAAAAAAAAGAAAGAAAAATTAAAAGGTAACCCATTTATGAATATAGATGCAGAATTTCTGAACATAATATTAGAAAATTGAATCCAACAATTTTATTTTTAGTTTCTCATTATAAAATTGCTTTATCTCACCAACCCAAAGATGTCTAAATTTCAGAAAACCTATTAATATAACTTACTTACATATTAAAACATTAAGGGAGAAAAAATATTATCTCAACAGCTTCAGGAAACATATTTGCTAGAGTTTAATATTATAAACTGGGGTTTCTCACAACCGCCTCCTTGAGTTTGATAATTTGCTAGAATAGCTCACAGAATGCAGGGAAACACTTATGCTTGCCAGTTTATAATAAAGAACATAATAAAGGATACAGATGAACAGCCAGATGAAGAGGTACATAAGGCAAGGTCTGGAAGGGTCCCCAGTGCAGGAGTTTCTGTATCTGTGGAGCTGGGGTGCACCACCCTGTACCAACCCAGGAGCTACCTAAAGCCCATACCTTAGGGATTTTTATGGAGGCTTCATCACATAGGCATGATGGATAACTCACTCAATCTCTAGCTCCTATTCCGTCCCTGGAGAACAGGGTTTGGGGCTGAGAGTTACAAGCTTCTAATCATGCTTAGTTTTTCTGGTGACCAGCTCCCACCCAGGAGCCCACCCAGAGTCACTGCATTAGAACAAAAATGCTCCTATCACCCAGGAAATTCCAAGGGATTTAGGAGCTCTGCTAACTCTTATCACCCCCTCGTTACTCAGGAAATTGCAAGGATTTTAGGAGCTCTGTGTCAGGAATAGGGTCAGAGAACAAATATTAGTACAGAAGGTGCTCCACGCACCTTTATCACCCTGGGAATTACAAGGGGTTTAGAAAGTTTGTGGAACTGGGGTCAAAGACCAAATACTAGCAGAAGCTGGGGACAGAGACCAGTATATGTATTTCTTAGTATTTCACATATACCGTTCTCCTTTTGCCCTTTCAGTGGTTTTACGGAGTTGACAATTCTCTATATTAACTTTCTACTGCTAATAAAATTGCTGTGTGGTTTCTGTCACCTGATTGGAAGCTGACAAACCACCTGGGACTTGCAATTGGCATCTGAAATGAGAGGCAATCGTGAACTGAGCCCTTAACCTGTGGAGTCTGTGCTAACTCCAGGCAGTTAGTGTCAGAATTAAACTGTAGGAAACCCAGTTGGTGTCTACTGAAAATTGGAGAATTGCTCGGTGTGGAAAATCCCTCACATCTGGTGTCAGGAGTAGTGTGAGTAGTAGCAAAGGAAACAGGAGTTTTCTTTAGCATAAATAATGGAAATAAATAGAAACTTCCTTTTCTGTCAAACTAGGAAACATACAACCCACAACTCAAAAATGCATAAATGCTACCGAAAGCTGCTAAGTTTACTTCATAATCTTTATGAAGGTAATATGTTGTGAAAGCCCCTTGGAGTAGAGAAGGGAAATGAAATGCAAAACAGCCCAGAAGGAACAGATCCCAGAAACCCCCGCATGAAAACTTGCTTTTGGTAAAAGGCTCAACTTGAAATAATAAATCAGTACCCCTTGCATACAATATAAGAGCTGTGATAGTTAGGAGGACAGGATAGAGACCTCTTTGGGGGGAAGTGAAACAACCTAGCAACAACCAATATGAGAAAAACATTAGCAAAACTTTGTCCCCTGAAGCAAACCCCAACAAATAGGTCAACTAGAGAAATTCAAAGGCAGCCAGCTTTACTTCAAAGAGGGGAAAATAAAAACAGGCAGGGAATTGCTGCAAAACTTACCAGCTACAATGGATCACCAATCAAGTTGCCATGAAATAGGTGAAAATTTTGACCAAACATTTGGCCATTACTTTCAAAGACTTAATAAAGAAATAGCCTCAATAAGGAAGAATGAATTTAAAAAAATATGTAGTCCCAGAGAAGAAATGGTGAGAAGACAAGAGAAAACTTGATCTTACAAATTTGCAGAACTCAGAAAAGAGGTATGAGAAAAAAAGAAACATCACAGAAATCAAAACAAAAGCAGAGGAGTACAGGGGAGGGGGTACAAATACAGGGGAAAATACAGCAAAATCTTTTGAGGATAGAAATGAAATAAGCATAGAAAAGAAACCATTTTTAAATAAATCCTAAAGACATTGATACACAGAGAAGACAGACAGTGGAGCTGCAACAAGCACAGAACTGGAGTCCCCAAAGAAGGAAAACAATACCATGGAACTGGACAAATCATGCAAGAATGTTCCTGAAATAAAAGGCAACTTGACAGACTGTGCACCGGGGGAAGTGAACACAAAGTGGTCAGTATGTGCCAAAACATATTAGATGTTAAAAATAAAGACACAATCCCCCTTCCTCTTTTCCTCTTTCTTTTCCCTTTCCCTTCTAGTCAATTCCCTTCTAGTCAATTCAGTCCCAAAGACATTTGGCGGCAAGAAGCAAAACAGGCATGCATGGAGGGAGGGGAGGAAAGCAGTGATGTTGGAGCCTCAGCAGAGTAAGGAGGATATCTGGGTAAAAGAGTGCAGTGGACTGAACGTGTCCCCCCAAAATTGATATGTTGAAATCCCAACCCCCAATGTGATGGTATTAGGAGGTGGGGCCTTTGGGAGGTGATTAGGTCATAAGGGTGAAGCCTTCGTGAATGGGATTAGTGCCCTTGTAAACAAAAGGGTCCCCGGAGAGCTCCCTCACTCTCCTTCCACATGTGAGGACACAGCGAGAAGTCAGCAGTCTGCAAGCTGGAAGAGGGTCCTCACCAGAACCAACCCTGCCGGTACCCTGATCTCAGATGTCCAGTCTCCGGAACTGTGAGAAATACATGTCTGTTGTTTATACGCCACTTAGTCTAAGGCACTTTGTTATAGCAGCCTGAACTAAGACAAAGAGTGACCCGTCCTGTGAGGTTGGAGCCTAAGGAGGGTGCCACGTGGGGAACAGCTGGCTTGCAAAGGATGTCACAGCCTGAGTGGAGTGAGGTAAGTGTCCGGGCTGGAGCCTAAGTGGGTGAGGAGGGCTTCCGCATGGTGGGACAGCTCAGCACAGGGTGTTGAGCCCAAGCATCATGATAATGGCACAGGATGGGAGGCAGTCCAGCATGACATGTTGTGGCCTGACCAGGGCCTGGGGTTGTGCGTACTCAAGCCAAGCTCAGAGAGCTTTGGCAGGTTATCAGGGCCAATGTGTAGGTGATAAGAAAGGCAGACAAGGAGCCATGGGTAGGGGAGATGTAAATGTGGAACACTCGGCCCCTGGACTCAGGAACCAGGGTGCCCAGCGCAGTATAGCACACAGTGCCCAGCACGACCAGGAGACCGCAGGCTGCTCAGACCATGCAGCTGGCCCCAGGGCTGTCCCTGGGGACCAACACAACTGTGGAGACACAAAGGTGCCAGAGCTGATCAGGGACACTGCATTGCAGGTCAATTTCCCTCCCTCCCCAGTGTCCCACCCCCAAGCTCTTGACTGCCACCCTCTCACCCATTTCTTCTCCCCAACTCAGGACTTCAACAGCAGCTGCCTCTAGTTGATGAGAAGCAGATGCTCTGAGCCTCCTGCAAGAGTTAATGATTACAACAGCCCAAGGGCGTCTGAACCAAAGGACAAGCAGGCGGCACCTTACTGACTCAGACTTGTGTAAATGCAGGACACATGTTCCCAGGACAACTCAGCCAAGTTCCAGAAAGGAGAGGTTTTCATGCAAGCTCCTAGGATTCACTCCCTAAAGCCGTTCTTGCTGAAGAGGATTCTGCACTTAAAATGTAAACTCCAAGCAATCGCAGATGGAAAGACAGAATTCTTTGTAATGAGCAGATCAGCAAAGATATCAAGAGTTTCTCCTTGTGGGTCAGACAACATGGGATGAGGGTCACAGGTAAGAAAACTTCAGAATTAATGATGAGGAACATATGGACAGGACTGGACAGGACTGTTTTCATTAGTCACAGCTGGATAAGGTTTTCAGCAATTTCAGAGATTGGGTGACTGTGGAACAGCGTTGTAATATATTTTCTCTGCCATGGTAGAAATGTTCTCTATCTGCACTAATACAGCAGCACTAGCTACATGTGGCTATTGAGCACGTGAAATGTGACTAGTGCAACTGAGGGTCTGCATTTTTAATTTTACTTAATTTTCATTAATCAAAATATTTCAATAGGCCCGTGTAGCTACTGACTACCACAGCAGACAGCGCAGCTCTACAGAATTTGTGATCACTGTATAATTGACTGCCGGTGTACTGTGTGAGGTATTTTGGTTGTTTTCAATTGTCTCAGATAATCAAAAAAATATTTCTTGTATAAATAAAAGTCTTAGTTAAAGAACCCTTCTTAATTCGTGTTAGTCAAGTCTGCAGGGCTCTGGAGTCGCATGTAGGCATGGTAAGTGGACTCAGCTGCTAATTGTGGTCCAGGAGGTGGTGTCCAGAGTGGGGGAAGCATATGAGAAAGTGCTCCCCAACGGGCATTACTGGAGCGCGATGATGACCAGTTGCTATCTCGTGTAATGAAGAAGCTTTGTGAATAGGTAAAGTGTCACGGAGACTTCTCAGTGGAGTAGAATTCCCCAGGGATCCCATTCCCACCTACACCTTCTCTACAAAGCCTATCAGACAGAGGCCAAAAGAAGAGGTGGCGTGGTTCTCTCCCCACCAGCACCCGTGGGGTCTTATGCAGGGGAAGTAATAGAGAGAGGGTAGCAAAGACTGGGAAAGAAGAAAATAGATGGGAAATGAGGGGTAGAATGCTGTCAGCAGGAAAGGGAAACTAGTGTCTGAGGCAAGAAGCCAGCAATTTGGGGGGACTTCCCTGGTGGCACAGTGGTTAAGAATCCGCCTGCCAATGCAGGGGACACGGATTCGAGCCCAGGTCTGGGAAGATCCCACATGCTGCGGAGCAGCTAAGCCCGTGCACCACAACTACTGAGCCTGTGCTCTAGAGCCCGCAAGCCACAACTACTGAAGCCCACACGCTTAGAGCAAATTCAATAAGTCAGATTCCTACTCTCCTTCCCACTTGCCCACTCTGGGCTCCAGGGCCCTGAAAACTTCTTAAGCATTTTGAGGAGCTCTCAGGCGGTGCCTCATGTGTGCTCACAGACCAGTCGGGCAGTTACAGGCAGTGTGGACCACCTTCCCCCTGTTCTCCCTCCTGCCGGCCCCTCCAAGTCCCCTCCCAGGATCCTGCAGGGAGGGCACTCTCCTCTGCCTTAGCACCAGCGCCCCTTATGCAAATGCCATGGTTCCCAAGAATGCTCTCTCTCCTTTGCGTCCAAAGCTGCTGCCTGAGGTGCCAGAGGTGCTGGGCTCCAGGCAGAAATGTCCCAGATTTTGTGAAATATTTTACCTCCCCAGCCCTGGAGCAACCCTGCTTATTTCACCCAAATGATCATATCTCAGCGACCTCTGGCCTCCAGATAAGGTCATTAAAAAAAAAATCAAACTCATTTTTAACAATCATGAGATCCTCCTCGACCTCCCACCTCCCTCTCTCTTTCTGAGGTGGAAGCCCATTTGGTAGCACCTCCCTTCAGGTATTTTGAGGCCCTCGGGAATGCTTTGCTGTCTGTGGTTTACCCTTCTTGTCACTCACTAGCTTCCCTCGCCTGGAGAACTGAGGTTCAAGCACAACCCCAGTGCCCAGACTCTGCAAACGCCAACCTCTGGCCAGGCCACCAGTGGGTCTGGATTCTCTCGAAGAACCGTGTATAAATATGCCCTGAAAAATACAAAGTGTTGTGCTCAGAGCTCAGAGTGTTCTTATAGAGAAACTGAAAAGTCTAAAAGCCCGGTAGAGGGACTTCCCTGGCCGTCCAGTGGTGAAGACTCCACACTTACACTGCAGGGGGCACAGGTTCGATCCCTGGTCGGGGAACTAAGATCTCGCAGCTCGACCAAAAAAAAATTAAAAACAATAAATAAATAAAAATAAATAAATAAATAAAAGCTCAGTAGACACAGCTCTCTTCTCTTGAGTCAGAGAACAGCAGTGCTGAAAGCATCCCCAGAGGTGACCCAAAGTAATGCCATTGATCTACTCGTGAGGACAGCCCCAGCCCCACCGGGCTGGTCATCACAAGAACTCAGGATGGGTTTCACGGGCCAGGCAGGGAGTGCCAAATTTTGGAAACCAGATCACATCAGCCGTTGTGAGTTCTTAGCCTCACCTGCTGTTTCAGACGTCCACTCAAGTGTTTACACCCCCTGCAGCTGCCAGGGAGAAAGACAGTTATCACAGAAGTCCTGCCACTCCCAAAGTCCTATAGAATCTGAGCTAGCGCCCAGGCCCCTGTGCCTGAGGGTGAATGGGTGAGGCCAGCCCGTAAGACCTCAGCGTTGTCATGCCCTGCTGGAGAGTCTGGATCTCCCATTGCCCTCCAGGTCTGGAGGCACCCAGAGGGGGAAACTTCTGCTTGAGTCAAGACTGGCTTCTGGGCGTCAGGCTCCATTCTAAACTCCCAACATGACTGACTGGTTTATAAGGTGGCCCTCTCCTGTCTCTCCTGAAGGGGATAGTCCGTCAGCAGGTGGAGCTCTGGGTCCAGAGCACAGGGCAGCAGGTGATGGAGATGACCCTCCATCCCTTAGGGAGTTAGGAGGAGGGGCCGAGGGACCCTCATGGTGAGGAGAAGGGGTAGGAAGCTTCAGAGGCTGCCCAATGCCTCCGTGGGTCACCAGCAGCCTCGGCGACCCAGGCAGTGTTGATCCCTGCTGGAGGTGGAAAGGCAGCCCTGGATACCTCAGCTGCCTCTCCTACAGAGACAAGGGGAGACGGGAGGGGGTCTGGGACTTGAAGGGGATCTGGGCACTCTCCTGAGCCAATTTCAGCCCCTCCCTGTGGCCCCGTGGTCCACATCCCAGAACCTTCAGCTCCTAGAGCAGTCCTATAAGGCCTAAAATTGTGCTTAGCACATAGCACATATGCAGGAAATATTCACCGAATGAATGGATGACTCTAAAAGTAAGACTCTGCTTAGCTGTAGCTGCTGGTTTCATGGCAAAACAGGTTGCAGCTTCTACCTCCTTTGTGTGTAGGGATGATGCCCCATTCCTTCACTGTCTCAGTCCCTGGTCCCTGGCCCTTAGCAAGAACTCTGGGACTGTCACAGTGCCCTCTCTGCAAGTCTCACTTGGCACGGACAGAATCAGGACTTGGGAAGGCCCCGAGATTCTCTAGTTTGGGCAGAATTTTGACAAGTCTGGACAGAATCCCGCCCTCACTCCTGTCAGACAGGTTTAGATGGCTCCATTTCACGGGGCCTGCACTCCTAAAAAGTGGCATAAGCATCTCACTTTTCCAGCTCTCCCACACCTCAGCCTCACTTTCCCGGGACAGGTGCCAGCTGCGGTGAGGACGAAAGCAGAGCCAGACAGCGGCCTCCTTGACGGCTTCTCTTCAGAGGGTCTGGAGGAAATCCCTATAAAAGCTTTTTCCCCAGACATGCAAGTGTGAGTAGACACCTCCCACAAGGAGTTCATTCATTCACTCCACACATATTTCTCACATGCCTTCTCCGTGTCAAGCACTGTCCTAGGAGCTGGGGTCCGGCACTGAACACAACAAAGTCCCCGCCCTCATGGAGCTTACATCCTGGTATGGGAAGACAGATCGTAAATAAACAAATAATTCTTGAGACGGTGCTACGTGCCAAGAAGAAAACTCAATCAGAGTAAGAGGATACAAAATGGCTGCAAAGAACATGAGTGACTAGAGAAAGCCTGCGCGCAGCAATGAAGACCCAACGCAGCCAAAATATAAATAAATAAATAAAATTTACTTATTTTAAAAAACACACACACACAAAGACCCTGGAGCAAGAGTGTCTGATGTGTTTTAGGAACAGCCCAGCATCCAGTGTGGCTTAAGTAAGGGTAAGAGGAGTAGATCTGAGAGATAGCTGGGAGCCAGATCATGAATGTCATGGTAAAGATTCTGGATTTATTCCAAGTGACACGGGCAGCTATTAAAGGGTTCTGAGCAGAGGAGAGACATGATCTGACTTGAGTTATAAAAGGGACACACTTGCTGCTGGGTGCAGAATAGACTAGAGCTGGGCAAGGGTGGGGGTAGGGTGACAAGGCTTTGCAATAATCCACCTGGGGAATGATGGTAGCCTAGACCACAGTGGTCGGCGGTTATGGTGGAAGGAGTCAGAAATGGGTGGAATCTGAGTATATTTCAAAGGCAGAGCCAACAGGATTTTCAGGTAGATTGCATGTGTGGTATTAGAGAAAGATAAAAGTCGAAGATGCCTCCGGTGATGACTCAGACTGTTGATCTGAGCAAAGAGGAAGCTACCACGAGTAAGTGCTTTCCACCCTGGGATCTTGTATTTCTCTGAAAAGGAAACGAAAATCAGGACATGCCAAGGACCTGGACTTAGTAATCTTAGCCCACTGACGATGGTGACCCTGCGAAGGTGTTGATGGGCATGTAGGTGCACAAGGGGCACAGTGAAGACAGGACACTGATGGGGGGCATGTGGGTGCAGATGTAGGTTAGCACATGGCACACGTGGAGGGTGACGCTACAGGTGTGCATCACGAGATGCATGTACCATACGGTACTCTAAGACAGAATCTCGTTAAAGCAGCACTGAAAGAGCAGTTACTCATCTTGTTTTGACAAATGTATGCCCTAGACTTTTGACTTGAATAGTGCAGTAAGATTCTCCCAGCTCTGATATCATCTATAGCAAAATCTTGAGGTTTTATGTGGGACTATGTGTAGACACCAAAAGGATTAGTAAGAGCACATGCCCTGGAATGAGAACCACAATCGATTTACTCTAAATTCTCAAAGACAATGAATTATAAATGCTGGGCAGAAGGTTCTGATCTTGGCTCCAGTTTCTTCTCACTTAGAAACTGGTGAAAGTCTGTAACTGGTGTGGCCAAGAGAATAGTTTCTTCCCCTCAGGTTTCCTCCATGTCCAGCTTTGTGGGGTCCATGACAAGATTGTCCCACAGGGTGTAGTTTGCTCTAGGAGGTTTACCTCTTCCTTCAACCCATTTGTTACTATTCATGGCCAAGGATTCTCAGTTTTCACTCATGTCTGTATTTCAAAGGAGGATTTGCTTCTCTCTAACATGCTTTATAAAATGCTGAATGTTGGCTCTACTTGTTAACCCGAGAAGACTGTGCAACAGGGCAGTCCTGTTTTCCCTGCCACGCTGTTTTCTCTCTGGGATCAGCCCTCTCTGTGAGCGTCAGCAATGGGAGGGTTATCTTAAAGCCCCTTGGACACATGCAGCATACAGGGGACCATGAACACAGAGGGCGAGGGAATAGGAAAAACTCTTTGATTCCTCCATGTACCAACTAATAGAAA